GTCAGGATCCAAGTCCCAGAATGCTCTTCGCATGAACCTCATACTTCTTGACAGAACCCCAAGTCATCCCTGCCTTTATCATTACCTCCAGCAGCCATGCTTGGCTTACACTGTAGCCCATCACCCACAGGCACCCCTCTTCTGGCCCTTTCTTCCACCCTTCCTGCTATGGCAGCCTGATGCTGGATTCATTTGCAGAAGGCAACAGTAGCATCAGAAAGTTTCTGATGTTTCCTAAGTCAGAGTATCCCCAAATTTTAGTCTCTCTCATGCAGAACAAGGCTTAGTGTTACCCTGGGCTGGTGTTTAGCACTGACCTTCTGGAAGAGACAACAACAGGGTTCTGCGTAGTTTCAGGACCAGCATCCCCTTTCCCCACAAGGATAAGCAGGTAAGGGATGAAGCCCAGAAATGTAGCAGGTGTGTGCTGCTCCAGAGTCTACATCACTCTGATTCAGCCTGTCCAACCTGCCATATGCAAGCTCTTCCAGGAAGGGTTTGGGGACCAGTCTGGAAGACTAAGGAAGATGCATGCTATGCTGACTCCATCATTTCCACTACCAGGAACGCTGGTCATGTCTTATAGGTCTGTACACAGCCAGCAAAATCTTTACAAAGTAGGTCAGAAAAGTAATTTAAAACTCTTCCTCAAATTTCCTGATGAAAGAAGCAAAAAAAAACCAAACCAGTTACAGCAAACTGTGAAACAGAAAGGAAGTCAGGTCAAGACAGGTACACAACACACTCAGCAAGGCTCTGGACTGGAAATTGCTAAAAGCCCACCAGATTTGCTTCCCCATTTCGAGTATGAACAAAACAGATCAAGCTGGGCCCTTCCCTGCTCAGAGCTGGCTATCTTCTGTATCACAAGAAATCGCATCAATTTGAGGAAGCATACTCAGAAAGACAGCTGTCCTTGTTTCCCGTTTGGAGAGGAGCAGAGGTCCTTCACCCTTATACCTTAGTGGGTCTCACCTTCACAGCAACATCGCTGGCAGCACTACTCTGCACTTTAGAAGGATGTCCATCCTGCATTGCTGGGATGTTGCTTCTGGATTTCTTATTCTGCCCTTCACAGAGATAAAAACCTGCTGAAGAGCTGAGCCCTGGTCCCAGATCACTTGGCCATGCAGTGCTACTGAAGACATGCAAATATATCTTTAACTGATGATATATAAATGTGCTTATAATAAATATGCTTGTATTGTAATAGTACTGTAGCTGCCAAGCATGGGGGGGAGCCTAGCCTTATTTTTCAGTCTTGCAGTGATTACTGTCTGATCATTACGAACTTGATGCTGTGTCATAGTATGCAAACAGAGAAGGAAATAATGCAGTTAAAATTGGGGATATTCTTTTTGTTTACATGAACTTCCCTGTCCTGAAGGTATTCTAAAGCTGCTCTTGTATCTAAAGTGAATACACTGGAAATAAATGCTACCTACTCATGTATGCCACGAACAAGAAAATCTCCTGTGATTTTAAGCTCATGTATGCTACTGTGGTCTCAAGCAAATCCAGGTATTTGTATAGATGGATAGTGTGTTTCAGTGTCTACTACTGCATGCAAGGACTGTACATCCACACATGTTCAGAAGTAATGCAAGACATGAGGTCTTGCAACTACTCGCAGACGTCTTCCTGTACCTCCACCCAAGTGAAGAAATAGTTCCAGTGCTGCAGACTCCTGGCCCTCACTGATCTGGAATCACCAGCTAGTTCTTGGCAGCTACAGTACTGTTTTCTTACCTTATTAACAAAGGTATTGCATGGCAAATATGCCTGCGCATGTGGAACACAGCACAACGGAAAAGCTACTGCTCTACAGCCTTTCTGACCCTCTGTGATGGAAATAAGTTGGGCAGAAGGAATGTAGTAAGGAGACAGGAAAATTAGCAAAAAGCAATTCCACTGTTCATAAACACCATGTAGCAATCAAAAGTACTTGCACAATCAGGATCCCCTGCCTAGCTCAGAGCTCCATCCCTACGCTTGTGTCCAAGTGCTTGCCGTAATGCTCTGGCAATGGTGGCCTGTGAAGGAGTCCTTTGGACAGCACAGCATCAAAGGGAACCACTTCTTCCATGGCCTTTACAGATACAAATGAGCTACCAGCTACACTGGCTACTCTGAACAAAGAAAAGTTACTTCTGCTGAAACCACACACTTCAAAACCTCTCTAATGAAGCAATGCTGTGGAGCAGGTGTATTTGCTCACTATTTCTCTTCATGTTTCAGCTAGATACTGTGACTAGCTATGTCTGATGTAGACTATCAGCATCTCAGTCTGACACTGTTAAGAGTGTCAGGGCCATTTCTAAACCTTTATATTAAGTGACAGAAGTGACAGTCTCTGGGTTAAATTAAGCTCCAATGGATTTCCTGCATCTTACACGGAGTTAGTGGAAGTTTCTTTGAAGAGGCAACACGCTTTTCCCAGAAACCATCACATTTTAATTACTCCTTTCACACATCCAAGCAAGTCAACCTTCCAGGCAAGTATCTTTTTAACAACCTTTTAGTTAAGCATAGTAGTTTTCATTTCACCAACCATTTACTCTTCCCATTAAACAGACCTTTCTTCAAAACACTTTCACCATTATGCTCTTACTGATACAAATTTCACCAGCTGCTTACACCAAAAAGCAGAACAACTAGATGTTCCCAATTACAACTGTGTAAGCAGAACAGTCACACAACATAGAAGTACATATATTGGTGCAGTTCAATTGGATATTAAAACCCACTACAGAAAGAGCACTGCATACCCGAGGGAAAAAGCGAGATCCTGAAAAAGGGAGATTGTAGCCAACAACTTCAAAATGGGTTTAGGTGAGGGTGGAAACTTAATGCATGATAGCCTCTGGAATGGCTTTGTCACCTTGATACCTGCCCTCTCTCTAGGTCACTTCAGATTGTGTTGAACAGCATGGTCCCCACAGAAAGGGCACTGATGACCTCTTTCTGCAGATTATTTAACCACTTTTTACACACAAAGATATTTTCTCTTAAGAGAGGCTAAGCAGCCCTCAGATAAGACTGACCCTTTGCTAAGGAGCCCCATCAAAAGCCCTTCAAGAAACCTAAAACTGTACTGGAACTACCTGTAGAAGGAAGTTTGGAGAAGTCTCACTCACAGCTGTAGTGAATGCACATGGCATGCAGGGTTCAGCCTTCCCAGCAGAAGTACCTGCATTACAAAAGGACATAACTTCAGAGACAACAGAACACATCCCCAGGAACTGGGGTTCTGATCAGTTCCATAATCTGGAGACTTCTTTGAGGAATTAAACTGACCCCTTAGTGAGGCTGGGAGAAATAGTCTCCCATTCATTATCATGCTAAAGTGTTCCTGCACGGTGGTTCAGCTTGGTCTGAGCCAAGGACCTCACATCAAACACAACAGTACTCACAGCTGCAGATCCCCTGCTCAGCTGTTGCATGGGTGGAAGGTGCTGAGCAGCCACTGCCATTTTTTACTCTATGAAACATGCAAACAAATGACACAATCAATACTTTACACTAAACAGCCTAACAGTAAATGCAAAGGTACATTACCCTGAAGCTCTACTTTCACTCTGCTGTACAATTGCCTGCTGAAAAGGAAGAATGCATTAGAAAGAAATTAGTGAAATTATGGCAGCTGGCAGAGGAAATGAAGAAAAGCTTTCTGACATGGAAAGGAAATTAAGCTTGCAACTTAAGGACAAACTGGATGCATCCACCACAGTGATTAACAGAAGATTAAGTGTCACTATTAAGTTTCAAAGTTAAAAAACCCACTTCTATAACTGAGGCAATACATACCCCTTTGGAATTTAGAGCCCTAGGATATTTGGCAGCACCTGCTGAGTCTGCTCAGCTAGTTTCCATGGAAGTTTTTCTTCACTAACCAGTAGAATCTAAACCAAAGTGAAGAGTCTAGCAGACACTTTGGGTAGTACTCAGACACATCACAGAACACAAAACATGCTTTTGTTATGAGAACCTTCCATGTGTGTGAAAATGCTTAAATGAAGAAGATTTCTATGCAATGAGTAGTAAATGAGTGGCTTAAACTTGTTCTTCTGCTCTTTAAATGGGTTCTCAAACATTTCCTACTGTAATACTCGGCTGGACAGATTCAGAGTGCACAGTTCCACCAGACAGAAATGTATTCAGATCCCTCACCACAAGAACATCCACTGTCATAGCAAAAATAGAGCTTTTTCCATTTTTAACAGACATTCACTAATCACACAAAACTGCATAACGGATCAGTACTCCCTTAGGTAGAACCATCTGTGACATACAGTCGGTACCTTGAGTTTATTAAGGAACTGCTCTGTGGTTGTTTGTGGGTTTTGGTTTGTTTGGATTTGGTGGGTTTGTTTAATAACCAACACAATACTTCCCCTCCAAATTAAAAGAAAAAAAAAAGTAACAGAAATTAAAACTCGAGACTGCAAGGAGAGAAGGGATAGAACGACAACTCTGGGCTGTTCTAACTTAACAAAGACCTGAAACAACAGATCTCTAAACCCAGTGCCAAAGAGCCATCACACTTAAGAAGGTAGGGCAAATTTATCCAGTGACCAAGACTGCAGAGAGAAGTCTCATAGCTCATGCACCCTTGCAAAAAGCACAAGCTGATGCATCATCAGTTCAGTGAATTGAGATAGCACTAGCACTTGCGAATGATTTCAGTCTTCTCAAGTCTCACATTTCATTACTCAGTGGTAATTAGGTTATTTTTTTTTCATACAGAGCTAGTTTAAAGCCAGTAAGTGCAATCTCTACCAAGTACAAGTTCCAGAGATCCCCATGATGCAGTGTTGCCTGTCAGCCACTGCTGGGAAGTGGGTCTGTACTGGCCAGAGTGCATGCAGTGGAGTGCTTTCTCCAGCCCAACTGAGCAAGCCTCATTTAGGGAAGAAGCAACCAAGGAGACCACAATCACAAATGAACAAAGAATTATGATTTCTCCAATTTGTGTGTGCGCTCATGCCTCCGTAGGGTACCTGACTCGGTGAAGGAATGACCACAGTAATTGCAAGAGTAGGGTTTCTCTCCAGTATGGATGCGGTGATGGCGCTGGAGCGATGCCAGCCGTGTGAACGTCCCTCCACACTCCTCACAATAGAAGGGGCGCTCCCCAGAGTGAGTCTGCTGGTGTCTTTTCAGCCTTAGCAACTGGACAAATGCCATGCCACACTCCTGACACTTATAGGGTTTGTCTTGTCGGTGAATCACCTTGTGTTTGGAAAGCAGGTTGGGCTTATCAAAACCTTTGCCGCATGTTGGACAGGAATAAGGTTTATAGTCATCCTCCTCAGGCTTGTGGTTCTCTGCACAAGGCTGATCAGTGTATTCAACAGTGTGTTGGTTACGGTGCGCTATTGACCACGGGTTCCTAGCCATGCCATTTGCCAAGATCACCATAGAGCGCTCTATCTTGTGCACATTGTGCAGGTGCCTCCAGACATCAGCGGTGCGAATGAAACCCTTGTCACACTCTGGACATTTGTGTGGCCTGTCACTAGAATGAATGAGCTTGTGCATTCGCAAGTTTGCTGCACGGAAGAACTCTTTGGCACAGACAGGACATTGGTACGAGGTTTCCACAAGGTGAGTTCGCTTATGTTCCTGCAGCTCACTCATACCCTGGAAAGTGGAACCACATTTCTTGCAACCATATGGCAAAGCTTCCTCAGGGACAGGCTCCAGGTCTTCATCAAACACATCCACAAGAATGGTATTTTTGTTATCAGCACATAGTCTTCTCCGTGGCTTCTCAGACTGCTCAGGGGAACAGTGCTCTAAATCTTTATCTTCATACTGCAGGTCAGAGTTGGTACTGGAGGGAACAAATATCCCAGCTGTACTCTCACCTCGTTTCTGGTAGTAGGTCTCATAGGATTCTTTGTCTTCATACTGCAGCTCTGCGGGAAGCTCCTGCTTACCTGGAGGTCCAGCAGAGTTGCAACAAGGAGTGCATGTCTCCGAGTAATTCATGTCTGCCTCCTTCTGGAGGTTAGATGTGTGGCCCACCTGCTTAGAGGTCTTCTGGGAATAATTCGTATGCTTCGCACCTGTGTCACAAATGTTATTCTCAGAGTCCCAGTCCACATGCATATCCATCCTCTGAGGCACACACTGTTCATCTGCAGCTCATCAATGATATGTATGCCAAGAGCTTCAAGTCTTTCACGGGAAACTCATCTCATTCTCAGCTCTCTTTACCGTCCTGTCTACAAAATAAAACACACATTTAATCAGTGATTTTTCTGGTTAAAATAAAGTTATCACAGTGAAGATTTTCTCCTGATTAAAAGAATGGGGCAGACTATTAGTTACACAGTAGGAGACACAGAATCATCTACTATTATATATTTAGAAAATATACATTCAGCATACAAAACAGAAACAGACCACATTTAAATCCTCTATCATAATCCAGCCTTCACTACAAATGTAAATTGATCATTTCCATTCAAAATTCACCTAAAGATGAGAAAACTTCAGAACTCTGGGATTCAAGACTTTTGACAAAGTCCTACACCATAGCTGCCTCCATCACATCTATTTTTTCTGAGGATTCACGCTTAATCCTTGTTTTTAGCTTGCTAAATATTAACTAGGAGCACCAGTCACAAGGTTTTTCTTTTAGAAACTTGTTGAGACCCAGAAACTGTGTCAAAAAGCCAAAACTAGAAGTAATGTATGGAAGGGGTGTCTGGAGAGCTCAGGAGTGCCTTCGGCCTCCCATCCTAACTAGCATTATTATAATTGTCTTGAAGATATTTGGGGTCCCTGTGGCACTTCCAGTTAGCATTATGCAAAAAAGACATAATACAAGGAAAGGCATGAAAGAAATGTCCAGAAAGCCAACCGTATCCTGGGCTGCACCAAAAGGAGCATGACCAGCAGGTCGAAGGAGGTGATCCTGCCCCTTTGCTCTCGTGAGACCTCACTTGGAGTATTGTGTGCAGTTCTGGTGTCCTCAACATAAAAAGGACATGGAACTGCTGGAACAAGTCCAGAGGAGGGCCACGAGGATGATCAGGGGAATGGAGCACCTCCCATATGAAGACAGGCTGAGAAAGTTGGGGCTGTTCAGCCTGGAGAAGAGAAGGTTGCGTGGAGACCTCATAGCAGCCTTCCAGTATCTGAAGGGGGCCTGTAAGGATGCTGGAGAGGGACTCTTCATTGGGGACAGCAGTGATAGCACAAGGGGTATTCTATGATTCAAAGTACAGCTAGTAATCCTCCAGAGCTGGCCCACTGGAACAACTTACAGCTTCAGATTCTCTGGGTAGACTCCCTTTCCAGACCAGCCTTGCTAGCAGAAAATATAAGCAATGGTAACTGGTCAGAAATAGCTGACTCAGACTTCCTTGTGAAGAAGATGCTATTGTTTATGCCATACTAAAGCATGGATTCACAAGGGGTTTTCTAGATTTGTCCCAGCAGCCTCTGTTGACAGCAACTCCACAGGGAGCTTTCACTCACCTTTTTTAAACACTAAATTGCTAATCTAAGATTAGAAATTGCATTTTTCCCATCCTGATGGATGGATACCTTGACAGCCCCCATCTTCTTCACACCTACTTTTCATATTCCCTTTACTCCCACTTTCTTCATTTCCTCTTAACTGCTTTTGTGTAGGTAAGACATTTCTGAATACAAAACTATATATATATAAACACATATATGTAAAAATGTACATTTCTGTTTTTCTATGTGTACATGAATATAAAGCTTGTCTGTTCAGGTTCAGTGGGTTTAAATAGTTATAAAGGGTAACAGCAGTGTGCATAAAGAGGTAAGTCTTGTTCACAGCTCAGAAAGGCCAGCTTCATGAGACACAAGCTGCGCTTTCTTCTGCTCTGATACAGAAAACATGCTGAATTAGTCTTCTTCACTAGTCACTGCCTGACGGGATGGTTCGAGTCACCCCCCAGCTTCAACCATTCCCGTTAATTTACTAACAAGTGCATGAGAACAGGAACTGTTCCTCACCTCCTGCAAGGTGCTGAGCATCTCCCGCAGCGCACCGCCAGCTCGGTAACTGATCTGCTATTTTCTTTGTCGAAGAAAAACTTTTCAAGGCAGACTGGCATTGCTTGGCTTATGAAAACTCCCGGACAAAGGCCAGTCCGGTTGTCACGGGGGGGTATGTAAATCATGATGTAGGGTTAAAAATAACAGCAGTAATTTAAAACTGAAAAGGTGGATTTGGGTCCCGGCAGAACGAACCCCAGCCGGGGGCCGCTCACGCCGCCGGTTCCCCCGCTCCCCGGCCTCGCCGCTACCGCGCAACCCCTCGCGCCGGCGCGCAGGCCCCCGGCTAAGGCGGCGGCGGCGGCGCAATGGCAGCGCTGAGAAGCCCGCAGCGGCCGCCGCTGCCAGCAGCGGGGCGGGACCCGGGAGGGCCGGGAACCCCCTCCCAGCCAAGGTGCCCGACTCAGACTGCAGCGGGAGCGGCCGGCGGGGCCGCAGAAACGTCCGGGTGGGACAAGCGTTGGCTCCACGCGAGCAGGTGCCCTTCGCGCCTGTCTCTGCAGAAAGGCGCGCTCGAACTCCGCGGGCTGGAGCCCCCTCCCCAGCTCCAGCCGGCCGCAAGTCACAGGGCAGTTGTGCCCCCTCTTCCCCGTTTCACTACGGCAGTAACAGCGTCTTCCCGCAGAAGTCTGGCGGGGACTGGATTCACTTTCAAGCTTTGCTTCGGCAGACGAAAGAGGCTCTGCTCATACAAATAAGGCTCTGTCCATATCCCCAACTGCTGCCTCTCATTTCCAACTCGAATAACTATTTCTTCACCCCGAGTGCCCAGAACTGCACTCCGTATCTCCTATCTCACCAGGGTCTTTCACAGCAGCATTATTTCCTTTTTCCTAGGGGAGGTCCTTTGCCAGAGACAAAATAGGAACCCATTTGCCTTTTCCAAAGCCACAGTACAGCCACATTCCTTTGGCCTTCCCAGGCTACTTCTCTCCTTCCCTTATAGCTGATAACCCACCAGTATGGAGCAGAAATTGTCCCCATTTCTCTACTGCCGTTTTTGGAAGACTTCTCATTCTTCCGTGGTTCTGCAGCCCCCCCTCCCCCCCCATTCACACTCCTTGTCAGCAGGGAGAAGCACCACTGGGAAGCTCCCAACAGCTTCTGTTCAATTACAGCCAGTGGTCCTTGACCCACTCCCCTCAGCACTCTGCATTTGTTCCCCCATTATTGTACTGACCAGTTCTATGCTTCCTGCAGTTGAAACTGTTCTCCAACATCACCTTGTAATCTTGCAAAGACTGCTTCCATTTCTAACACTGCACACTGGACACCTATCTTGCTGTCTTAATAAAACTCCTACAAGTTTTTGATATGGGCTTCTACAATTAACAGCAAATACAGAACTAAAATTAATATTGAACAGGAGTGTATATTATTAGATGCAAATATGGTATATAAGAATACTTCAAGTTCTACATCTTTTTGATCTTGCAGCTCTTTCTAAAAATAGGCAGGAAAAAAGAAACTACTCTGCTGAGAATCAAGGGTGAGGAAAAGAAACGTACCTACTCCCTTCACACAGAAAAGTGAGCTACTTCTGAGAGCAGAGTAAGTGGCAGTTCAGTTCCTTCAGACTAGGCAGTTAAAAAAATAAGCAACGTTCCTTTAATGACAGTCCTCGAATGCATGAGAAACCCACATGCTGCTTAGTATGGCAAACCTTGCAGAGAAAGAACCACCACTCCAACTCTCAGAAACTAGGAAAAAGACTTCAAATAATTTTCCTTACTTTTATTATAATTTTTTTTAATTTTAAAATTCTTAAACATTTCTTACTGCAATGCAATAGCTGGACAAGATAAATGCTTTCTTCCACCTGGACCTAAGATGCATGGAATCACATACCCCTCCCACTTCGCTTATGGAAGACAAGCATACAACCCTCCCCTCGCTCTTCAGTTCTCACAAGGAAAGCTCTAGTGATACATAAGCACATACAGCACTGATATCTCCACAGCCAAGCATGCCTGTGTGCATGCAGATGATGAACGGCTATTTAAAAAGAAACTGAACAAACCATGCTTTATCAGGCCTATTCATTCAAACAACATGAAAGGATGTACGGAGAGAAGAAATGGATTCATTGTTCTGGCCACCTGGGCTGTGCAGCCTGACAGCCACTCTTCTGAAACCCAGCCCCAGAGGGTGGTGATGATCTAGACAGTAACACTGTAACTTAACAGACCACTTGCACACCAAAGCTCTATTGTAACACATACATCTCAAAAGCACCCATGTCCAGAAGAGTCCAGACAGTCCTAATTGTATCCAATGGCTACACAACTTTCTTGACTTCAATCCCATACAACAGCAACATTTCCTCTTGCAGCTGCCAAGCAATACCAGCAATCAATAGTCTTCCTCATAAGGATAATGGAGGAATGATGAAAGTATCTCCAGATGCTCTAGATCCTCCTCATCCTGGAAAGCATCAGTAAGAATGATGCTTTCATCATCCTCCCTTACCCTTTTTTGAGGTTCCTCACTGTGTTCAGAGGAAAGGCATTCTAAATGTTCACCTTCACACTGCAGGCACGGTTGTGGCATTGGTTGAATTATGCATCTGGTAATGTTTCAAAGGTTTCCTCTTATGGAAATCACATAAGTATTCCTCAGCTGTGTGACAACTGTCATTAACAAAGAAAGACCAAGTTCATCTCCATCCTATAATATCATATAGTGCTTACTTGTTAGTAATTGTGGAGATGGGCAGTACAAATTCCTGTGACCTCTAGTGGTTGGCTTCTTTCATCTCAGCTTCCTTGGAAAATAAACAAGAATTTCAATATTTGCCAGACAAAGCTAGCATTTAAGCTGTCAGGCTAACTGAAAATACTTTAGTGGTAATAAATAACACGGAAGACTCCATTTGGTGTCTCATGGGTTAGATCAAGAACCCAAAGCAACTCTGTTCGGTGCACTGTGTCCTCTGTTACTGATCCAAGCTGAGACAGAAAAGGGCTTCTATGACAAGGTGATAAAAGCAGCACGTACACACTCCAGCACTTAACACTGACAAAACTGCCAACACACTCATAAAATGCATGAGCACAGTCCCAAAACCAGCCTCTTGCTTTCACTAATGAAGAACAGGCCAATCTACTAAAGTTTCCCTTTTAACCTAAAATAAAAAAAAAAGGAAATTCGGAGTTCTTATTTCCTGTTCATTGGTCTTTAGACAGATATACTTAGTTCTACCGAGTTTCATATTTTTTTTTCCTCCTAATACTAAGGTATTTAAAATGTGCTCTGCCTTCTGATTCATATGTTGCATTTATAAGCATACAATTTTACTACATTCTAAACCTTTCCCATCAACCTTGATGAATTATTCCAGCACACACAAAAAAACAAGCTGCAACCCTCAGGGAGAAGGAGGCAGAAAAATAAGTGAAACACGCATCTATTTACAGTATATGATTCCTTACTGAATAATAATAATAATAATGGCAATTATGATGATTATAATAATGACCATTATGAGTTATTTTATTGGTGCTTTGTACCCATCCTACATTTATATTCCCAACACACATATATGGATGCCAAATCGTTTTTATTTATGCTACCTTACTTTTATGGCCTTAAAATATGAGGAGTCTGTCAGGCCACATGAGCACCTGTATTTGTCAGTTTGATCTGCTTTGGAGTCATCTTTAATTTTTTATTAAAAAAAAAAAAGACGCCACACTCCCATGTTTCCATTAAATTTGCTAAAATGCACAAACTCGCTCACTGTCACAGTGGGAGCTTAATATATTTTATTAAAGGCTTGAAATTACATTCTATCAACATTTATGTTTTATTAGTCATATAGTTTTCTCCCCTGAAACTTCAAACATTTGAAAGCTTCACACTCTTCTACATAAACAAATCCCCCAGGGTTTTTTTCTAAGTAGGAGCTGAATTCAAAGGGTCTTAACATTTTACTGAACTTCTAACGCCCATGGGGAAAGTGGGCTCCCCTTAGCACACTGAACTGTGGTGAAAGAGTAACAATAGCTGTTGTTCTTTGCTTTTGCAAGAACATCATCACAGCACCTGACAGCAACTGTTGTCTTATCAAAGCTGATTACACCACGTGCAACCTGCTACAAGCCAGAGAGAGAGCAGCAGTCAGCACTCCAACAGTACCCTGCTGAAAGCACAACTAAGAGAAGGTTAAGGATCTCTGATGGGTCCTCTCTCAAAACAAGGAACTGTCACGCTATCCCTAGCCGCCTCCAGCCTGCTATCATAACATGATTCTTCTGTGAATCTTGCCAAGGTCTTTGGGAACTGTCATCTGTCATTCAACTGGCATCTCATGAGCAAGGCATCTGGAAAAAACTAACACATTGAGAAAACAAGTCCTAACTACAGTAAAAGTCAAATACCTTTACAAAATCTAGAATCTAGCTGTAAAGAACATGGAACAATTAACGGAGAGAAACTAAGCAAGGACTGCAAAAAGCTGGCTAGTCAAGTAACAACTTTCTGGCATGCTTTAGTTTCTCAAACTTGAATTTTCCTTTATACGCGTTGATCTAGACTGTCAGAAAATTTCTGTGCAAAACTGTTGCAAACATCTGATTTTACAAACATCTCCAGCCCAACTCTGACAGCTCAGTTCAAGTGCTGGACATGCAACACTGCAGAGGAATCTGCAAAGGAGTACCTGACCCTTCTGGTGCAAGACGGTGCATATGCACAACCAACCACACTCTGTGGCTGCCGGCAATGGCTGAAGTTTCAGATAAGCCTGTTACCAGCACATGCACCTTACACAGCTTTGGAAACCCTCAAATTGAGTACATAAGAGTTAAAGGAGAAATCTCTACCTACTGAGCAGTTCTCTCAGTACACCTGATGTGTAACCAGTGGTTCTTACTGTAACTTTTGGATTAGTAGGCTGACTCAGAAAAGCATTTGATAACTTACTCAATCATTTTACTAGAGTACCTGATTAAGCCTAAGCGGGACGGTTTTAGTAGTGCCCCAGTAAAGCATAAACTCTCTCCAAGATCTGTTTTGACTAAGGACACGGAACGAGCAGCTCTCACCGAAACACGGCACTTCACCCGGGCCACCCCAGCACCCCGCGAAGGGAACTTCCCAGCCCTCTCCCCTCGCTCCTCCCAGGGCAGAAGGGTGATGGGGAGGCTGGAAGCTCACAGTGCCCGCAGCCGGGAGCTGCCCTTCCTGCAGCAG